ATGCTTCTGAAATTGATTTGGCTTACTTTTTATATCAATAAAAGCTGACACCAGTAATTTCAGTCAAAAATGTCAGTAAAATTTTTCACTCGTCGCGATCTCTGAAAAGTAGGGTCCACTTAAGCGCTAATTTCGAAAAAAATATTTACCACCTGTAAAATCAAATTATTTCACATTATTGCCGAATGATAGCTGTAGTTCTTCGCAAAGCTTCGTAGCCATTGCATAAAAACTGAAAAGGTTATGACACAAAGTTTGTCATAGTTCATTGCGCCTATAATAATAACCTTAAATGTTTGCTCTTACCTTCAATGTTGGCTTGCCCACTTCTTTTTAATGAAAATGACCTTTTCACGAAACAGAACTCTGAATATTTGTTTTGGTCGGTGTCGGTGTGTGTCGCTTGCTTTAAGGTTTCTTTAAGCAATGGTCAACTTTAATCGCATAATTCTTCGACTCTTGTTCTATTTCCTTCCATATAAAATGGTTTTTACTCTAAGAGTGATATGATTGGCCATGAGACACTTGTCTAAACACTAAAGAGAGAACTCAGCAGCTGCAGCGCAAGAAACTTCTCGTTCTTTCGATGCTGCTTTATTAAATCAGTGGAAATTTCGAACGTGGAGATTTCGTAAGCCCATTGGAACGTTTCAAGTAATTATGATCTATACCGGTTTCCTCCGTTTTACGGAAATTGGTCAGATGTTTCCTGATAAATACATATATTGAAATTGAATTTTAAAGTTGTAAATCTTGCAAGGAATGGAATAGCCAATATCATGTCTAACTAAAAATCCCAGAAAGAAGAAAGTGGAAGTTAAACTAAAAACGATTCCCCAGGGGCACCGCCGTACACCCCTAAAATCCTGCGCCATTGGCACTCGTTGTTTCGATCATCGATTACGATTTATGTTAGATCCATGCCCAAGTATATTACGGGTTTTCCAAGGAACCTACAAGATTTTGAAAGAATTATATATAAAAACCTTAGGCTCGACAAATATTTTCAACTTTCCTTCTGGAATAGATATTGACGACTGAATCACAACGTTCACGAGAAACTGAACAGCTGTAGCGCAGATCTTTAAATTGTTCTGTTCCTCCGATGGTAATTTAGAAATTTCGTAGCCACGCGCTTAATTTCACCGGATACTGTCTGTAATGGACATCTAGTTTTCTCGGACATTTAATCCAAGGCGAATTTGAAAATAGAATACGTGGAGTTAGGTTCGCATCATGTTAGACACTAGCTGGGAGGGAAAAAAAAAGGTTTTACTTTTTTCAGGACAATTACTCAAAGTGAAACATTATTCCTAAATGAACACACAATGGTCCTGAAAACAGTTTCATTCAAAACCACTTTTTAGGTCTGATTAAAACGCCACAAAACACCAACTTTCTAACGTGTTTTGATATCCAGCTATCCACCAATCAACCTGAAATTCAAAATAGGTTTATCTCGCCGGATGCGAAGTATATAAATATATCAGTAGTTATCATAGGTAAAATTAAGAAATTTTACGCTAAGCAGTAACCAGTTGTTTTATTCGTAGAGTAACAAAAGAAATAAACTGGTTTTTAAACAACTTTGCAGCTAAAGATTATATTTACAAGTATCATCGATCTAATCAGTAATTCCGCTGGGCAGATGTAGTTTGATGACAAATTAAAAAAAGTCTCGTGTACTTAAAATAAGCCCCAAGCCCATTCTTTAGTAAGCTATCCTTTCTTTAATTAATGCACCTTACATCGCTCTACGCCAACTGGCCACAATACCTATTTTACCGTTCACTTTGTGCCCTGAATATTCTATTACCGTGAGGCAGGCTCCAAAATGAAGAGAAAGGGTATGCTTCTCGTCTTGCTTAGTGTGAAAATTGCAGATTTGGCAGATTTCCCTACTAAGGGTACATCCCAGATTGTCTCACTAACGCAGGAAAGCGGGCTATATTATATCCATACAGGTATCGCTCAGGGCTTTGTGTAAAGAATTATCGATGTAAAAGTAACAAACGCAATTTAAATGAGTTATTTCGTTGTCTGTCTTTGTATGGTCTCTCTTAGGCCGGATAGGGGTCAAATAAAACCTCAGCCACGCCCCGTTTGGTCTTCTCTAGACGATTAATTCTTCACTAATATTCACACGAGCATCCCCATACCTATTATATGGGAGTTTCCCCTGGGTTTCTATGCACAGTATTAGGAATTAATCTTACCACTTTATCAAAATTTAATCTGATTCAAACTTCGTGCTCTGTGCGAAAGTTTGAAAACTGATTCGATGATTACGGTGTTTTTGAACCGCCTATAACGCACGATTTTCATGTGTGAAAGATTTCTTTCTCCCACAGTGACCATTTTCTGAATTTTTACAGGGTTGAATGATTATATAACGTTTTTTACGTAGTCCTCCTCGAATGTGCTCTCAAAACGGGGAAAGTTAAAATTTCATTTGATCATCCTTATTACAGTACCGAGCATAAAAAAATACCAAAAAGAACTTTCAAATTGCTACAATAACTGTATCTCTGTGATCGGCACTAGATGTACCAGCCCGGTTTTATAGATTCAGTAAAATGTTTAAAATCTGTCAAGTTTATATCACATGTAGTCAATTAGAACCGAATTAGAATGTTTATCGAAAGATAAAGAGTCACCTATCTTAATAGGTACTCCTAAGTCGCGTGTCAGCGATGTAACTGATTATATTCTGTATATTGTGTAATGTAATGCTGATTAAAAACTGCGCATAAATTACAAATACAGGTAACTCACTTCTTTTTTTTGACAGTTAAAAATGAGTAACTTAATTTTCTTGCTTACTTCATGGGCTATACATGTTTAAAGTAATGATGTTTTCCCAGGAAAAATTCTTGAAGGACTCAATGCCGTTTTATATTATTTTAAGGTCTTCCAAGTTAGACTTACCATTGCACTGACTCTTACAAAGGTCAGTTCTGGCAATCTCTATTTGTAATATCTAATTGTTCACAATTTAGTCTAAAGCAAATTATTGTCAAGAGTTGTCTCGTTTGTAATAATCTTGAGCAGACTTTGTTCTTGCTGTGATAGGTGATGAATTAGGTTTCATCTAGCCGTAACAACTGACAACCGCGTCATTTCACCAGAGCTAACGGAGGCAAAGTTTGTGACACTTTTTTGTCAACCAAATAATGCCGAGTAAACTTTTTCCCTTCTTCCAAGCTTTCGCAGTGAACCAAACTCTTTCTCCACTATTTTAAGCACTAAGAGCCAACCAATAACCCAAGTTGAATATGGCAAAGGATATTGGATACAGATAACGACAGCACTTGTTGGTTAGCTTGCCTAGATCAGTTTTTTGGCCGCTAGAGGACTGGGTTCCAGCCAAACAGCACTTGCGCAGTTTATCGAAATACCCTGCACTCTCTTCATCCCTGTTTTCTTGATAAGTCACCAAATGAACATGTCCATTGGAATCTGCTATGTAGTTGGGTTTGAAGCCATGTTTACACTGGAACACTATTTTGTTGTTTTGAGGCTGGGAAAAGAAGACATGTCGGTTAAAAGTGTGATTGCTTCATCAAGCTAAAAATATGGTTAGCAGAAAAGGATTAGATCCAAATTTGAAGCAGAGAATAACCGAACCTTCTATAACCCCTGCAAAACTACCCCACATGCCAGACCATGTCATGCAAGTGTTAAAAAACGCGGCCGTAACGTACTCGAAAAGTTGCAGGGGATTTTTGTAATCGTGAAGGATTTTTGGTTATTACATGATTCATCATGGATTCATCGAGACGTACTTTCTTTGCATTTTAGTTCGTCTAAAAACATTTCTGATGAGGGCTTTATGCAGGGGATTGATGAAATGTCTGTCTGTATCCTTCCGTTTTCATCTTATCAACTGACTCAAGATACTGAGTTATCATCTTATTGGTTACTGAAATACCCTGAATGGGTTGTCCAGCTGCCAGGTTGTGAAAGCTGAACCTCCAGACCGATCCTCTTTTATTTTAGGAAATTCTCCGAATTTAACTCAAACTAAGGTCGTGAATATGCAAACTTCTGCCTTCCACTTCTTACCTTCATTTCTTCCTCCCTGTCCTTATCTTTCTCCTCTTCTTTGGAACGAAGCCTGTAGATTAACAAATCAGTAACAAGAGTAGAAAAAACAAAGATGAATGAACCCATCAGATACCAGTCAATTGCTTTGGCATAGCTCACACGAGGCATGGTTGAGTTACTGGAGCCAAGTAGGAAAACTATCGTGAGAATTGTCGTTATCCCGAGCGACAGTCGTTCTCCGATGCAGTATTGATCCATCCAAAAAGAGATCCAGCTTAGAGAAACCATCACAATGCAGGGAATATAAAATTGAATGAAGTAGAAACCCATGCGGCGGTGAAATGTAAAAGCAGCTACCAGGTTTTTATATTTTCCTGAAAGAAAACATAAAATGTAACACTGAATAGTGCGGCCACTGACATATCTATAAAACTTTTAAGGGACATCACATTTGCGGGCGACTAGAGGAGCCCGCAATCCTAGTCTCCAGGTTGCTACTACGCATGCAGGGCAGCCAGCATTTGTTTGGATTTCCACTAATAATAAATGAATGTAATGCATAGAGCACAATCTGAACACGTTCGTTGCATCAAACTGAGTGTGTATAACGGACAATTCTTCCTGGTGGCTAGCACAGAGAGGGTTTAAAGTATTACTTTGACTTGACCAACCTGAAATATAGGTAACATTTTTTGACTTCATTTCCACTTTCACTACGTCGAATTCTGCTAACTCCTTGTTTAGCAATGTGATAGGATGATCCTCTTTCCACCTAAAGTCCATCTGGACAATGGTGTGCTGGACTAAGACAAAAGGATAAAATAAACTGGTAAAGCAGCGATGAAGCAGTGGCCACATGATTATAACATGCGCATAGAAAAGGTAACGGCGCCGCGCATGCGCGAGTGAAAAGGGGAGGCGGGTTTCAAATGGCTTAAACATTTTGGGAACAAAAGGAAATGTTGTGGCGATGTTGAGACGAGTTGAAACCATTCTTAACATGTCATAACCTCTCACAGGCAGTGTTGTAAGGGGTGGATAGGGAATATCAAATGGCCACACGATCAGCTCATTTTGTGACTGTTCACCTGGGCCGAGTTGTTCAAAGCTGGGTTAAGATAACCCAGAGTTAGTGCAAGATTTGAATTAAGATTTGAAAGCTTAAAAAGCAATTCAGTTTTAATTCTTTGTGTCTACAAGTTGATGATTGGAAGCTCTAAAAATAAGAGAGAAAATTATCCGAGAAAATGCTTTTGAACACAAGAAAAAGAAACCAGGGTTATATTTAACTCCGGGTTAAGCGCTAACCGGCCTTCGAACAACTGGGCCCTGGGTTAAAAATTTGGGGTAAATTACTGAGTGGTTGACCAAACAGTACGTTTACATTCTAGCAAATTCAATTAAATACAGGTGATTTTTCGTGTACATACAAAGCCCTAATAATTCCAATTTAGCATTGTCTTCGGTCTGTATACAAGCCCTTTTTTGGCGAAAAACTTTAAATAAAAGTGCATCCCCTCCCCTGTCGGACGCACCTCTAATTTTTAATCACCACTTGTCAAACTTGAATTTTGGAATCTTGTCCTCAACTCTCTATATTCGAGGAGGCTGCCCTAAGGAGTGTAATGAAATTTTAAGACCTACATAGTTGGCCTAAGGTAGTGAGAAAGTCAAGCACTTTGACCATAGGCTTAGTCTGGCTCAGGAGATTACACTGGTCTGCTCAGCAACTCCCCAACTGTTACTTACAACTTTCCAGTGTCAAATGACATTGTTGTACATCCATAGGAAATTTCACTAGTTTCATCTGACAGGCCGCCGCTATCCGGGCATAAGCGAAGTAAACGATCTGACCCTTTTTGTCAATCAACACCAACTGGTTGTCTTGGAACACCTCGTGGTCGTTAGCGTTGTTAATGTAAGTATCAGGAAGCCATATGCGATTTACATCAGTGCCACCCAACATTAGAGTGGCCTCGGTTCCATGCGCCAGCCGCTTGTCAGTCCAATACTGACGAAAGTAAACAAACACTTGAAATTCCTGAAAATAAAAGGACAGTTTTTGACCTCAAAACAATTTTTTTAAATCAGCACGCACTTTTTTTCGGCGTACGAGAGCTATATGCTTGGCCATTTCCTCGTACAATTTTAATTCAAAAGAAGGAATCATCGTCCCGAACTGAACCATATACTGCTATCATTACTGCTGCTACTTATACTACTGCTACTAATATTGCTACTGGTACTCCTACCACCATCACCACCACCACCACCACCACCACCACCATATTCAGCCAGCGCGGTCAGGGCGGGGCTTCAACTTACAAGTCCAGCGCACAGTCTAACCGCTCAGCCACGCTGCCTCCTCAAAATAGAAGAATATAATAAAAGAGAGTATAGAATGGGAGAGTACTCGCCATATTGGATTCTTTGATCTCACTGAAGGCTTTAATTGCCATGCTCACATATATTATATCAGGATTGCCTGCAAAACAAGGCAAACATAAGGTCGTTAACTACTATATTACCTCTCATAAAAGTAGTTATCAAATCGTAAAACTTACTAGCTTGAATATTTAGCTCGTCGGAGTGTCGCAAATAGTCAATTTATTTTCAGGACAAAACTCACCCGGAAATATTTCAGCAACAATAATACATCTACCATCAATAAATAACATAGGAAACCTTTTGCAATTCCCAAAATGGGAAAGTGTTGCGAATTTTTCCCATTATTGGGAACTTCCTGGGACAATGTTTTTCTGTCTTGTGAAAGTATTCATTTGGTAGCAGTTTGGGGTAACTTTTCCCAATGTTGGGTTCACTTCGGGAAATGAAGCAAGATTGTTTCTGGGATATAAGTGCCGCCAATAGTCAATTTATTTCCAGGACTACGCTCACCGGGAAATATTGAAAAAATCGATACCTGTTACATTAGGTCTTGTCCTGTTGTCGTAACATCTCAAATATCGATCCAGGATCTCAGACGCATTAGCTGCCTCAACACGTGGAACTGTCGCGTCTTCACTGAAATGAGAAAACAACAACTGTGAACCGTAGGTAAGGCAGTCATTTACTTACTTGTTTAATTTTTGTTTTCATTTATTTGTTGTACATTTATCCGGAATAGGTCTTGGATTATCTGGCCCAAAATATAAAACTGAGCCTTATTTGTATCAAAAACGTCATACAAGTATTACTTATCCAATCAAGTTCAACGATCTACATTGCTTGCTAAGTGCACACTCCCTAATTCGTCTGTAAGGTATGTTGAAGGGAACAAGCTGCTGACCCGTCTAGAGTTCAAAACTTTCATTAGCCTGATCCAGGCTCCGAGGAGATAGTTGGATCCAGGCTGACACGATAATAACACTAGGGGAAACTGGGGAGAGGAAGGGCGGCCTTACTTTTTGCCGCCACTGTCCCCTTTTCTCAGATCACGCGTTCATATGTTCGCGTGCCTTTCACTTACTCGACATCCCTTCTATCCAAGAACCTGGAAAAGGCTAAACGTTTTTAGCTGAGAATACTATTCACGGACTACTACAACAAAAAACCAAACAGTGAGTCCATTTAACTATCCCAAGGGGTGGATCTTGCGGTCCTATGCACCTCTCAATTTTCTTCTTACTTTGTTTTTTATCTTCCAAGAGTTCCCCATCCTCCCCACCCACTACTTCTAATGGAAATGTTAGATCCTCCCTTTCTCCTAAGCCTACTTCTTCCCAGTACTTAAAAGATGGATCAGCAGGCGAGAAAACTGCCTAACCATCGGCTTGCTATTTATTTGTAAGAGATACCTGAGGGAAACACGAATTGGTAGCAGAAGAATTAACATAAGCCATCTTGCCGCAAATAATGAGAAAGCCATTTCAACTTTGAAGTTCTTCACAGTTCACTGCGCAGAAAAAGCAAAGGCTGTGTTTAGTTTAACGTGTTAAAATTAGTATTTCCTATTGACTAGACCGCTGAGGTACAGCTTATGGAAAGCAATAAACTATGCTTTATTATTATATGTGATTTATATCGGTTAAAAATATATATATATTTGTAGGATATTGCTTGTTCACTTCATTGTTTTATTGAAATAAGGAACGCAGTGTTCATAAATGTATCTAAAGATATCCTTCAAGGGTTACTGTTCATAACGTCAGTTAACCCATTCGCCCCTGAACGGTTCTTTAGTTTTTCATTGTTGGTTGGGAACATGACGCGAAGATTTTAAAATCTCGAAATTTTGCTTTCTGCGCATGCCCGAACTTCTCAAGCTAATATTTTGCATCTGAGTCAGAAGGCCGCGAAGTGTACGACCTGTAAACCGGTTTGTGGTAAGTTTTAGCTCTTTATAGCACGACAGTGACCAGAAAACCACTCGACTAGCTACAAAACGCGTTTTTCGGCAAAATCTCCAGGAGCGAATGGGTTAAGCTCCGCGATATTCAGTACTATTTGGTTCTTTAGTTTTTCATTGTTGGTTGGGAACGTGACGCGAAGATTTTAAACCAATCACAAGGCTAGTCAAAAGACTACTAGTCAAGAATAATCGTAAAATTGCTTATTTTTTCTCGAATAAAATCGAATCTAATAAAAAAAAAAAGTTAGTGTAGACATGGGATGAATGGCCAATTTATCTTATTTGCTTAGTTGAGCCGGGAACCAAATTTTAGTGTAAATGTTTTTCCAGAGAAATTATTTCCCAATGACTAAAATTAACAGAGTGTTAAGCAGGAATACATGCAGACCAACCTTACAATTATTAAACGTTCAAGGGTCAGTCTGTCAAACATTTTGAGACAAACACAGAACTCATATCTTTGAGGTTGATTTTCTACCAAAATTTAAATTACCAATGAGGCATTGAAAGATGAGCGGTGTTTGTTCCTGTTATTATTATTGTTATTGTTATTATTATTATTATTATTATTATTATTATTATTATTATTATTATTATTATTATTATAAACATCCTGTTATTATAACTCTGTTAATGATAATTACCTGGTTCGTTAGAAATGTATCAAGCGTTGTTCAATGTCGAACGAAAAACGTTGTGGATGAATAAAAAGCAATTTATAGGCAGGTAGCATTTGACTTTGGGTAGAAAAAGTTATTTCTGTCACCTTTATCAGCAAAAACGTACCTCAGTAACGCACACAAAACAAATTGTAAGCTTAGATTTCAATACATGGTGAAGCCCATATGAATATAAAACAATATAACATAAAAAAAATTCAGTTTTCAAAGATTCTTATCAGCACTGGTACTGGTCATAGCTATTGGTAGACTATAGTTTATCTTTTTAAAAAAAATTGTCCCTCGATTTATTCAAAATTTTTACTTCCTTGAGACCATACTATTAATAATAAAATGCCAGTAAAAAATCAAGAAGTTTTCATGTCGACTAGCATCAGCTGGTGGTTATTTCAGCGGCATGGGTTACTTTCAAAATATTTGCATTTGTTACTTCCACAAGTAGTTTTGAACCCCAAAACTGGCAATTAGATCTAATAGTCGTTGCGAAAATTTTCCGCTGGAGCTCGTCCAGCGGAAAATTTTCGCAGCGACTATAAAAAGTCACATTTTCTGATTTCTGAGATCAGGGCAGGGATTTTAAGCTGTATCCTTTGGTGCACCAACATCGTTAAATTTTAAACGAACTTGGTTTTTATGAATATATTAAAACAGGAAATCTCTTTTGCCTCTGAGAAAATCAGAGTAATTTCAAATTTTTAAAAAATGTCCTAAATATTTATGACCCCCATAAAGGTTTTCTTTCCTTTTTATAATATGCTTTTTTTATGGACAAGAATCATGTAAATTACTTGGGCATATGAAAACAGGTCTACTAGTTCCTGTTAGTGAACATGTGCTGCGTTCATTACGTTTTTAAAACTCAGAAGATGATTTCGAAATTACATATAAGATTTAGAGACGGTAGGTTAATAGGAGCCTTCCTCTGATGACAAAATATGTTTTTTCGTCTTAGTTTGCGTGAATCAACAGATTTTTTGTTGCAAAGTATATTACAAATTTGCTGTTTTATTTGAATTGGTTATCAAGCCAAGATAAAAGTCATGTTTGTTCTGAAATGCTGAATTCATTGTTCTGTTAATATCCGTATTACTGCAAGAAAGTTGTACTGTTGGGAGCTTAAAAATTGCGAATTTACATCATGCTAATGTCTTTTATCCCCACCGTAAATTTGATATGCAAAAACAAGACCTAGTGTAACAAAATATTTAAAGATACTTTCAATGTCAGTGCTTATGAAATAGAAATTTCTAATAAAAAATACTTCATACCGGCTTATTGAAGAATAATTGTAGTTTGAAGTCCCTGGTCAAACTTCTTCTTCACCGAGAATTACGTAAATATCAGACCTCCTTAAGCACGCAGCTGGCTTCTAGCTATGCCAATTGCATAATCAAGAAGAGGGATAATGTTATTTATCGCAGCAATAAGTCAAATTACAGACCTGCCGAGACCTGATAGACACGTAGGTAGAACCGGGTCTCTCGTTATAACGAGATTTTAATGAAAATATTCACTGAAAACTAGGCACTAAATGCCTTCGTTATTATTCCTAACTTGCAAAACAGGAAGTTCTTTGATATTAATAAGAAATTATTCAAGGTGCAGTTTTACTGATGATAAATATAAGTGGAACATTCGTACTGTGGCTTATCACTGATAGCAATAAAAGACATAGTGTATTATTTTTTAAGCGTCAACAAAAAGGAACCAAATTTGCTCCTCATTGTTGTAAACTAAACTTTATTTTTTACGACTTTTTTCAGTTTTAATGACTCATTCTCCAGTATGAATTTTGCTATCTTCCTGTACGTCCACCCCTTGATATATTTAATTGGCTAAACTGACCTCTGCATTGTTACACTTAATAATTTATCGGCTATGGAGTTTGCTCAAATCTTTAATTGCACTCCCCTTATTTGATAATTTATGAACTTTGTCCGTAAGGGGCGCATCATTCAACCCGAGGAAAAGGATGAAAACGAGCCGAAAAAAGTATCAGTAATCTTAAAATGCTTCATTTTCCGCAGAGTCCTGACAGGAAAGAAAGCGTCATTTTTGTAAATTACAAACTAAAGAAGCCATGTTGCTTCAGTAAGCGTTTCTTGGTTTGAAACTGAATGAAAATCTCATTTCTTATGCCCCTAATTGCAGCAAAAGTCAACAAAAAACCTGATGCTAAATACTATAACCTTGAAAAAACGAAACATATTCGGAAACATTTTTAAAAGTGTTTAAAACGTGATTTTCTCAAAGGGGATTTCCTTGCGGGGTGATTGTTCTTTCAAAATCATTCGCTTTCTATTTGAATATTCACATATTTCATTTAAACGTTCAAACTTGAATATTTACAAATTCAGGTGGCTGGGTTCCAATAAAATGGTTTTTTACATTGCATACCAAAAATAATTTTGATTTTATATAAAATCAATCAATCAATGCTGTCTAATGCCAGCCAGTTCAAAAACTGTCTGCGTGCTTTCGTGGCTCACGTAACACGTGTTGTTTGGTTTTTGTTTGTGGTATTCTACAGCGACATTCTGATTGGGTATTTCTGTACAATGTAAATGGGCCTAGATACAAATTGTGATGTGTTGAGGTTGGACACTTTTCGTGGATTCCTTGTTATTCCTCCTCAAGTGACTCGAAAAGAGCAAGAAATTCTGAAAAACAAACATAATGTCAGTCAAATGTCACATAGTTATTAATTGATGACTCAGTTCTGTCTCTCAATCGGAGAACGTCTATATTAAACACGATAGTGATGTCATACGTACAGAGAATTAACTTTGCTGTATTCTCACAGAAACTAGGCTAACTACAGTGAGTGGACGCTTGGACCAGAAAAAAATTGTCTCTTGAGAGGTTTCCTCTGACAGTGTTTTAAAGTTGTTGGGGCCATGATTTAGTAAGTGTCCACTCTGTTGAACCGCCCTCTTGCAAAGTTTCGATTGCTTTAATATTTCAAGAAGATGTTCTGGTTCAAAGACAAGAATTTTTAAATGTTAACACGATGAATTGAATACTTAATTTTCACCTTCATAGGTTAATCTCCTATCTTGATCAAGCTTGGCGCTTGTAATGAATTCGTTCAACTCATCACGTGGTATTCTATTGTCCATATTTAGTATAATGTAGCGTAGATCCGCTGACTCGATGTACCCCTTTTGGTTGGCGTCGAACAGTCTGAATGCTAACATCATGTCAGTTTCTTTTTCGTCTTGTTTCTTCTTATTTTTCATTCGCTTCATCTTGCTAACCTGGACTGAGAGAGAATACATTGTTATCCTTGAATCGTTATATTGTCTAGTACAAGACCTGAAAGACTTTTGACTTCAACTGTGATTGTGCGCAATAACTTGCTTATTTCCCAAGAGTTTTAAGATTTATGGTTTTATTGTTCGCCTTTTTTCCGTTGTTAGTAATTAAGACGGAATATTTTAAACATTTTGCGAAAGCAAGAAACCTAAACAGCCTGAATTCTGTCAGTAATTTAAAACGATTTTTAGGGGCTAATAAGCGTCCCTTACAGTGTAGAGTTTTCACCAGCTCATTTTTTCTTGTTGTTGGATTTTCCGGTTTTTTTTCTCTAATTTCTCAAACTCTAGCTTCCTTTTGGGCAAGAACTACTAACACCTACTAAGCACTTGAAATTTAAAACAGTTTTCCCCCTTTTTAACAAGAGTAAACTAAAAAAAATGAATGGTTGTCTTTTGTAATCAGCTTTTTAGTAGAATAAGTGAAAAACGCTTCTCAGGGACAAAGCTGTTTTTAAATCTCTGATCAAAACAACATTACAGCTATGCCAATCCCCATCTCTCTACTCTAGTTCAGACTTTA